ACCACCACCACCACCACCACCACCACCAACAACAACAACAACAACAACAACAACGTCCCAACAGGGATCAGAAGGACGACGATGATGACTAGGCAGCCATACTCACGACCTGTATTCCCAGCGGCGGGGAACTGCGTGCTGGAGAACTGCCAACGCATATCAGGCTGCGAGTGCCATGGTTTGTTAATCCTGACAGAGCAGACGCTTACAGACCTTTGGACTCAGAAGGGACTCCGTCACCACGGCACTTCCGGCCTCTGACCTAAATGTGATCCATCGAGCTGTGTGCGGGGAATCCGGCATTTAAGGATCTGCCTATGAAACTAGCGCGTGCTCATAATACATAATGAGACAATACTCGCTGGCAGGTAGGCTTTTTATTGCATAGGATTGCACTTATTGACTGCGGGTTGCCCAATACGTGGATGGTGCTCTCTCCTCATGCTTTTAGACTTGAGCTAGTGATCGAGAAGTCCCTGGCCTACTGCTTCAAGTTTCACAAAGCAACTCACGCAGTCTTGTCCAGCGCAGAAGGCATCTATTGGTTCACACATTTTCCTCATGAACCACTGGAAAATTGATTTTGCAATCTGGGATTGAAAAGTCCATTTTTAACATGAAAATCGATCCAGAGGAAATGATGTCGGAGAACATTTTGGCCTCCTCAAGCAGTGGGTGAGATGATGTGATAACACAAACCGATGTATATTTGTGCCGACATTCTAGGACCCCCTTCAATCCCGGATCAGTCTACCCAAGATCACTCAACCCATAGTTCATTTCTCGATATGATGCACGAATAGCTCGGGAGTTTTAAAATTTTTAAGCGAAAAGTCCTTTGAGGAAATCAACGGAACTTTATTTCGCAAGCTTTTAAATCTGGCTTCCCTTGACGGTGTGACACGACATAAATCCAAAACCATGGACTGTAATGGTCACCAAATGACTAATTCTGTTTGCTGTCTGCATTACGCACTATAGTCAATCATGAGATCCACAGGGTAGTAGATCTCAGTGAGATGGGTTAGTTCTCGCTACATTTTAAGGCACACAAGTCACACGGTGTACGCCAGTTAATATAAATTATAACAGAAAGAAACACGTAAAGACGGATGACTAGAAATCCACAGTCCATCCCTAAAACTGCTTGCGAATCAGGGGGGGGGGGCGAATCGACTCAGTTAGCTGGTATGTGAGATCCGGACAATCATGTGCCCGGTGGCCAAAACACGGAGAATTCGACAAAGACTTAGAAAACTCCGTGGAAAAAGTCCTCTGGTATCTCCAAAAATACGGGTTGGCAAACGATTGTCTTCGATAAATCATCAACAGACCGCGGTGGAGCAGAACAGGGCGGTTGGATGGCTAAAAGTCATTGCAGGAGTGAAGAACACCACTGGGCTGGCAAAGCGAGATAATAGACGCTTCAAACCCTATCCCATATAGCCTGATTTGCACTGAAAACCGCCATGAGCCTTGGCATACGTTGCGGGACGTCGGACCGCCGCGAAAAACCCATATGGCCAACAGCATAGTACTTCGCAAGCGAAATCTTGCACGGGTTCTAAGCCCTTCATGGCCTCTTGAGGACATATATGGCGTCCAAAGTAATCCACCAATCGTGACACGTACTCTTTAAGCTCACCCCGCAGCCACGCGCACCTACACCACCGACCACTTAACGGACCCAAGCATCTGCCCTCTGCAAATGAACCTAGAGTTCTTATGAATTATTAGCCTACGCAGACTACTTTGCGCCATACAACGGTCTGCTAAGTAAGGACTCTTGGGAAATGACAGCTAATTGGCATGTATTCAACGAAAACACCGTTCTTACTAACAAGTGGTCCGTGGGGACTTAGAAGTGGTCCTCTAAGCAGATTTTAGTATTGTTCAGAAGAATGACACTCAAGAGGAATGTATCTAGAACGATCAACAATTTAGTATAAAGTCCGCCACAGGAGTGTGGAACAAAAGTCTTCAGAGCTGACGATACTCCGACCGTGGATACGTAGGAGGCTACTTGGCGGCAAAGAACTCGGCCACGAAAATAAAACCAGCACTTTGCTGGGCAGTGGACTGGCCTGCTCGCCCTTTTATGACTACGTCATTCTAGAAATACCTCCCATGCGTCGCCGCTGATGAGTGCTTTACATTAATACCTTACTTCGCAAGCATTTTCTTAAAAGCGTCAGTGAGACTGCTTTCACAGAAGGACTATGTATGATCCTTTAGACATGTCTAATCTTAACAACACATTCACCTATGCCCAACAACCCCTTCGACTCCGTGACTGGTTGGTCAGCAAAAACTTCGATTACGTTGGGACCCATGTACCGGCGCGGAAAAAGTGTGGAGCAAACGATAAGAACTCATGTAATGCTGTACAAAAATAAGGTTCTACGCATATGTACACATAGAAAAATAAGTGTTTAATCGGTTAGGCTTGTCGAACCAAGCAACGATTGAGACTGCGAAGGAACTTCAGCACTTGTTTCCGCCACCTTCTGACGCAGTATGGCCAACTGATCGAGAGAATTTGCGAGAAGGTTACGCACAGTGGCCAGTTCCAGGCAGGTGAGTTGACTGACTCGCGCCGTGGCGGCTCCACTGCTAATGAACTGATTTACTGACGTGACAAATTTGCCAACGCGTGCATCCCACAGATCCTTGATGAGTGTTCGCACAGCCTCCTGACTAGAAGAACGGAAAATGAAGACTAAGTAAATAAATAAAAGCAAAGCAGAGTAAATAAACAAACTATTGGAGTAAAACGAACTCGGGCAGGTCATCAGGGGCATGCTGAAGCAACAAAGTGGCCACTTCTGTATAATGGGGATGCGGTGGTTTGGTGCATCCAGACTCAGCGTCCTCAGCCTCCTTAAATTCTGTTAGACTGGTTACGCATAACCAGTTTGGTGGGATGATTCGACATTTCTGTTGCCGCCGGAGGTGGACCGCAAGCCAGAGAGGAACCTCGCATGGAATGTTGGGATGGAATGGACCAACCTGAGATAGACAGTAGAAAAGGTGGGTGGATGAGTAACGGAAACGAGAAACCTCAGAAAGCAGGTCTCCGACTGTCGAGTAAAATGGCGCAGAGGAAAGGAAAATGTTTTCAACCACAATAAAAATAAAACATTTATTTGGCAGCGGTAATAAGGAAGGCAAGACAAAGGGACAAGCTAGAGCCTCTAGGTTACCCTACATTTAAATGGGAATCAGCACCATATGAATGGGGCTTTGCGATACTCACCAAAGCTACAGAACAGAGGCACGGTAAATATGCGGTGGAACTCATCGTGTAAACTAGCGAACCAAGAGGACCGCTCCTACCAAGTATATTTTGAAGTCAGAAACATCACGGCAACTACATGACAGAAGACGGAACTCTGTCTGTACACGAAGAACGTAAATTTAAATGAGCCTCCCACTCACATCAGTCTGAGAAAAAATAACACGCTTTATACAGGAATCTAGTAATAGTAGACTTTCAATCATGTGAAATGATTGTGGATGGCAGTGCGGCACCAAGGAGCACAAATAAGAGAACTACTACAGGATGGGATAATAATTCATGAGAATAATACGGGTACTTGGGCAAACTCACGAAATGTTCTATCAGATCGATAGCTTCCATTTTGAAGCGCGGAATAATTTGTATCAACTCGTCTTCTGCGAGGAACTCCAACTCATTTGGATTCATCGTCACTCAAATTGCGGTGGGCGAAAGAATCTCGGTATAAACTTGCACCCGTAGGCGATAAAATGAAGTGGTGGTCTTCCAACTGTAACAACCTACAAGGACTCGAATAACTGAGTCACGGGAGTCAATGCACATGCTATACATTGAACGATAAAGCAATAACCCTTTCTACTAGTAAGAGTATAATAACAAAGTGAAAGAATCATTTAGTGTCAGATAGTACAACGAATCAAAGGGACGATGAATCGTACGTGGTGCGGCTGTGATCATACCTGAGCCGGCTGGCCTCGTGTAAAGTACCTCTCCACGAAAAACGAGTTGGAGCAGCGGATCTGGACGGCTCGACATATCCTCTTCACCAGCGACGGAGACCGAACATCGAGGGCCCCAGAATCAATTCCATGTCTCGACGAACCGTCTCGAGTCAGGTCTTAAGTTGGCCTCCTCTCCCACGTCTCCGGGTGGGGAACGGTTCCGGACCGAGGGCTGAGCTCGTGCGGCGAACGACGGAGGACGTACCCCAACCAGCTAAGCAGTCTTTTTGGATGGCCTGGGATATCCTGTAATATTGTCGCAGCGAAAGCAGACCGTCTCACCTGAGACGAAGTCTGCGCACTTCACCCGAAGGGTGGACCTTCAGCAGCGACGCTCAAGCACCACCAGTCTTTGCTCATCTTCGACGCGCAAAGCCCAGCATCCACAACCGTAGAGGAGGACTGACCGACCGGATGCACGTTACACGGGGATTTTCGTGGCGATGGAGATGTTGCGTCGGTTTCAGAGGCACTTTCTATGGATTGAGAAGACAAAGCCAGCAGCCTCGATCCGGGAGACAATGTTGTCCTTACTCCGTTAATTGCACAGCAGTCTCACTCGAACTATTTGAAACTGTCTACTTCTTAAAGTTGACAGCTATTAAACACGAGGGGTAACATCTCCTGCTCAGGGATGCAGCTCGACAACAAGTTGGTATTCCCAGAGTTTATGGATAAACCGACCGGAGTAGCGACTACATTCACTTGTGACACCAGACTATAGAACACCAAAGACTGAGGCTGATAAGGCGGTATTGTCATTGCAGTCAAGATCAGCCAGCCGGCATCCGGGTGCAAACTCCACACCTTCAAAGTCGTATAGGGCCCTTCCGAGGATCCGATCAATGGCACAACAGTATGCTTTGATCGTGGCGATGCGCCTTAGTGTTGATATCTAGTCCGCGCACCCATGCCAAGCTTGGAGTCCGGCTTGGTTGGACCTTGTCCTAGGAACGCAGACAGACTTGAATTGTATGAGAAGGACAACAGTAAGGACCCTCACAAAAGCATCGATGAAGTTTATACTGCAGTAGGTCCCGCAATTTGTGTCATCTCCCTTCTTGAAAACATTCGCACGGATCCCCGAGCTCCAGTCATTAAGAACTACCTCATCTCTCCACGCCTGCTCAAACAACTCATGGAGCCAGGGCGCCAGTGTCGACATAAGGCTTGTAAATTTCAGCGGGAATACCATCCTTTCTGTATGTCTGGTTGTTGTGCAACCTCTGTGTTGGTTTGACAAATTTTCCTTTGGAGAGGAAGTCGGAAGACACTGCATGGGTTGGAGGATAAAACTCCGCTGCAGAGAAGAGCGACGGTGTAGTAGGTTGTTCATTAAAGCAGAGGTGGTCGAAGTGCTCACGACTGCGACCGACCTTGGCCGAGTTGACAGCAATAACGCCTTTATTCACGTAGTGGACAGGGGCACTAAGTTTCGAAGGTCTACCACTAATTTTGCGGGTAACCTGGTAGTTTTCGAGTGCCATCAACGTTTAGGGCCTGCTCCATGGAAGTTGCTGTCTCAGCCCAACATTTCAGTCAGTCATCTCTAACCGACTTTGCTATCATTTCCCGGAAGCATCGTTGCGGGAACTGGTCCAATCTGCCCGAGCAGACAACTACAGGATTCTTCTGCCGATCCAGTCACTGCAGGGTTGCTGGGTGAGTTTTCTCAGCTGTCCCATAGACTGATGACTTCAGTGATGACCACTGGCTAGCGCCTTCTTCCTCGGCTCGGGACAAGAGGTGAAGTTTCAGGCCTGTGCGAACTAGAACATGATCAGACCAATGGACGTTACCAGTTACGACACCAAGCACCCGTTTGCTATCCCTAATCCAGCTGCGGAACCTTGAACCAGTTAGGATGTAGTCGATCTGATTGGTTGTATACTGTCGTTGAAATACCAGGTCAGCACGGGCTTTTGATGATGCTGTAAGCACGCGTTGGTGGAAAACAGTCGGTCCTGATCTGCCAAGACCAGCATCCTCTAACTATTGTCGCACCAACAACCAAGCCCAGAACGACCAATAAGGTGGCCGTTTGACGTGTCGCCGGATACAGTTCGGCCATTCCAGTCCCCGGAAACGGTCAGCAGATCATATCGACTAACTATTGCAGCTGGGAGTAGGTCTCCATCGCACTGTTCGGCAGTTGATGTTCGAGTGTACACGGAGACGACACTGATGTCCACAAAGTGACCCTTCAGTAGCACGTAAGTCACCCAGTCATCGACTAGTTCCCATGCATGCAGTCGCAATTTGCTTGTTCCGAGAGAGCAACAGTCACCCCATGTCTACCAGGAGAGTAGCGTGCGCCACTGTGGTATAGGGTGATGCAGGAATTGACTCCAGGGATCTTCACTCTCCTAGCGCCTGATTCGAGAATTCGGACTTCAGACAGACAGCAGACATCCACTTCGTATACATGCAGACTGGGCGTCGTCAGACTCTGGGTCCCAGGGTCCAGGTAAGTCTGCACATTCCAGAACCTAATACCAAGAGTCCATCCCCGGCTGAGTAGTCCAGATCGCATACTATTCGCCCGCGCCGCTAAACCAGGGTTGCGGAACGCGTCGGTTCCCTCGGACGCTGTAGCACAAATCGTAATACTGTAGTCGGACAGTTTCATGAGGTTTCTAGGAGACTTTAGGTACAGGCGAGTCCAAAACATCCACTCGGATGGTTTGTTCGAGGTTGTCTCTTCTAGCGCTTTAGCTCAAGAACCTAATCACATGGTAGCGGTGGCAAGCAAACTTATTAAATGGCAATTTAAGGTCGCCATATCGTGGTGCCGTAATCGGGTCTGCGGCAGTTTATAAGGCAGTCGGCGTGTCAGACCTCAGGTTTACGCACCATGATAACATTGTTGCTGCTGGTCCGCGGCTGCTTATTCGCCAGATCGGAGAGCCTGTTTGTTTCGCACCTAGTTTTCGCTAAAGGCCGTTCCACTATCCGCCCCCCGTGGTCGCGCCGCGTAGCCAGCAGTTAGGCTAACCCAGAGGGATGACGACGTTAATCAATGACGAGGATAAAGGGAGTGATAAACAAACCGCAGTCGGCTGCGAAAGCGGACGAAAGAGGACATAGCTTCCTTGAGCCTCCGCAGCTTTCTTTCCATGACATCTGCTGGGAAAGGTATAGATCCAAGACCTGGACCGGACTTTGCAAGAGAAGCGTTAACAATGCGAATGTGAAACTCTAGTCTCCTAGTGAATACGGACGCAAAGAATTGGCCCAAGTGCTCGGCCTCCCCACAATCTAAAGCGAATTCTGCGTCATTGTCATCCCAAAAAGACTGCGACCGGATTTGAGATACAAGGAAATAAAATCTTCGGACGTAGAAAACCACGGGGTCGTCACCGCTGACACGGGTGACTTATGCGCCAAACAGCTACGTGAGTGGGTGCTGCTATTCAGCATAGCGCATGCTCACATACGGGCCCTTGTAGTTATTTCTAGGCCGATCATGTCCCAACTACGGACAGACCCAAGAACGCTTTTGGGAGCGATGTATAATCTGCAGGTAGCCCCCATATGAGCAGTGAATAAGTGCACGTTGGCTTGGAAAGGCAACTGCACAGACTCATAAGTAATAATGTCAATTTAGCGGGTGATCTAGAAATTCAGTTGGCCAGTGACGGTCTCTCGGTTTATAGGAAACCAAAGAGCGGAATATGGCCAATCTTAGGAAGAGTTCCGGGACCCTTCGTAAAGAACGTATTTCCGGTAAGGATTTATCGTTGTGACGGGAAGCCGTCGGATGTTGACTCATTCTGTAAGTTAGTTGCTGCTGCGCCATCGGCCTCTCCTTCTTCCTTGCTAGAATCATGCAAACCAGGTTTGCCGGCAACCATAGTTTTGTTTAATAATCCAAGAACGCGATAAGGGAAATTGTCAGGAACGCACAGTTTATTATGATGTACACGAATGAATGTCTCGTAGTCTTTACGCGCCCAAGTGTAAAGATGCACTTTAAATCGGCGCTTGGCGGATGTCACAGCACTGCTTTTTGGTGTACGATGTATAGACGAGAAGTAAACTATTTAATTGGCACACATTTATTTAGCCGACAGTAGTCCAAACAAGGGCCGCTGCTGGTCTAGTATACTAGACCCCACCCAAACGTTGACAAAGTCCAATCTCCGAATGCCTTATATTATGCATGGCATCCAATGTGCTTAAGGTAGGCAATTGATCAATTACCGTATTATGTCCTAAACCCAAACCTTTACCTAGACTAATCCCGAACCCCAAACCTATCCAGTAACTAAACCCTAAGTCCAAAACTAGCCCTTAACCTAACCCAAAACCTAAATCGAAC